AGAAAAGGGAGGGGGTAAAAAAGCTCACAAAGGGTGTTTATTTAACTAACTTTGTATTTTGCCACCCATTGTTTTCATTTATAGCTATGTCTGATAAATGAACACATCACGGATAAATACAATGCTATATAGGGCCTACAAGAAAACCAGGGTGCTCTCCCTTAAAGATTCTGCCAATTGCACCTTGTATGGGGAAGAGGAGTCAAATATTTTTTTTTTAGTACAATTATCTGCCAGAAAAACAATGAAGTAAGAAAAACTACTGCTGAGAATGTGCGTGACTGTATATGCTTTTAAAATACTAGTTGTTACCTTCTGGGAAACTTTTCTTCATATATTTGTGTGTGTGTGTGTGTGTGTGTATATGTACTATATATATCTTTTCCATTTTAGTGGACTTTTAAAACTAGTATTACGGGTTGAAAACAATCATACCTGTTCAGCTGTGTGCTTCGTAAATTGAGAAGCACTAGTGCGGTTTTCTATGGGTCTGTATTTAAGGCCCGCAGACAAGAGGCACAGCTAATTAGTATGGGGTTACAAATTTAATAGCTGTCTTATCTAACACAATAATTTTTCTTTAAAAAGAGCCTAAACAGAAGTCATGGTGGGGTTGCTCTTCATGACTGCCAATAATAATAATGATGTTTTTAATGTACAGCTCTCCCATAAATTTCGTTTCGTGAACACACTGGTACACGTTGCTGGGGCTTCCAAAATGTAGCGTATCCCACTGATGGCTCCAACTTGCGAGTGGGCTCAGTTCTGTAATTGGAATGAAAGGAATTTTAACACTATTTAGACAGACTCAAATGCAGCGTAAAGGGGAAAGCTAGAGTTCCTTATATGATTTCTTTTTTCGATTTAAAGACTTATTTGTAATGAATGGCACCTAGGCAGGATTTAGGAGTTCTTTGTAAAATAAAGCATGTATTTGTGTTCACCACTGACACTATATTTCAAAGTTTTAGTAACTGTTATTTCTAAAACTGCCTTTCACTAAGAGTTAACCTTCTCTTAAAGCCTGCCCCAAAGCCCATTCTTGCCAGCCCCTCTCTCTTTCACTTTCTCATGTTTGGGGGCCCTGTCTTGTAGATTCCTATCAAAATGCTTAATTGTTGCACAAGTGTATTTTTCTCCCAATCCAGGTCTCTTTCTTCATGAGATAAATGCAGTAACTATGTCCTGAATGTCACTCTTATTTTGAGGATATGTTTGCCTAAAATCTTTTATCAGATGCTGAGCTTTCCATTGCTGCTTCTTCGGGGGGAAACCATGTATCTACTAGTTGTGATATGGGGAGGGGGGGGAGAAAAACTCTGTGAAGCCGAGAACAGCTGACTTCCAGCACATGGGAGTAGGTTTACTATTAAGACTTTTGTTAAGCAAAATTAAGAGTGGATTCAGAAGCCATAATCAAGCTGGCACATAAAGGAAGGTCAAAATGGAGAGGGTATACACTGTCTTCATGTTCTGTGAAAAAGAGGCAGGCCAGATGATAAACTGGCCAGAACTCATCAGCGCCAAGCACAACCTGTATTCTTCAAAATAAGGCCTTCGTTCAGAGTTGCAATATTATCTTTTTGTTAAAAAAAAAAAAGAACCGAAAACAAAATAAAACAAAAGTCATCATATTTGGCTATGTTTTTAAAACAGTGCTGGCTTTGTCTAACATTCTATTAGCGTTCTAGGGAAAGTTGACTAAGTGCAAACTGCATGAATTTGTAACATTAGTTGCATGAATTTGTGTCATTTGAAAATAGGTCAATGCTTAGGAGTTCTACTAAAGGTAGGTTGAGTCTTTCTAAATGATCTTTAAATTAGCCCCCATACACGGCCTGTTTTGGGGTCAGTACCAATAAACCAAAGCACAGCATTTATTCCACGAAGGCATTATTTTCTGCTTATATTTTTGCAGCTAACATGATCTAAAATAATCACCAGCGTATCTAAGTTAAGAAGCCATCCACTGAATATTCACAGTAAAACATAATTTGATAACACAATTTAAGCCAGATACGTACTTAGAGTTATGTAAGTAAGGGGTGAATTTTCTTTTTCCTATTTAAAATGATTGACCTTCAAAGTTAAAGCAAAAAGCAAAACAAAACAAACAACTTTGATTTGTCCAAAGTGTTTATGTTAAATCTTGTTAGGAAGGCCTGAAAATCACTGTGTGTAAGGAAAGAAGAAAAAATAATCAATTGTAGCCAAAACGCAAGAATTGCTTATTTTTAACATTAAATGCTTATGCGTCAAGCTACCTCTGATATGCCATGTCTGCTTGGCTCGTCTCTCTTTATATGGGTTTGCTCCTGGATCAGAAGCTTTAGGGCCATGTTCAAAAGGCCAGCTCCAGTGTTTTATGTGTGTGTGTTTTTTTCCCCTACCAACGGGCAATGATGGCTCAACTTATTTGAACTGAAAACTTCGGGAACAAAATAATTGAGAGGTCATAACTTGCATCTATATTAAATATTGCTAATTATTATATGGGGCCAGCCTCCTCGCCTTACAAAACAGCCTATAATTTCACCCTCAATTACTGCCTCCTTACTCCTCCATTAATCCTTCCACGGGAGAAAAGGATGCATGTTATACTTCTAATGTGATTGTTGGGCCCAGTTAAACTGTACACTAAGAAACTGAGTACAGAATCAAAAAAAAAATGCAGTTTATTATTGTAGATTATTCTTTCTCTTGATATAACCAGAATTGAAAATGAAAGAAAAGCACATAGGAACATCACGCGTGGTTAGTTAGTAACTCAAGATATAAAACAATTTTGCACAGCAAAATATGTAAAAGAAAAGTAACTGACAAGATTTTTTTATATTTATTGTGGTAAGATTTACTTTTCATTATTTTTTTAAAGACAGGATGTCAGTCCCTGAAAATAACATTTACTGATTATTGCCTTTAAAACTGTGGATTTTTTTAAGTTACAGAAAATCCAGTTCTGCACCACAATACAACTGTAAAAAAATCTGCATCATTTTAAAACTGTGCAGTAATGCCATTTTTATAACTGCATAAATTTTATTAGCGTTCTAAACAGTTTTGCAATTTTTTTTGTATTATATGCTTGCAGGTTATATCTTAGTGCAATTCAGTCCCAAATACTTTAATTTTGAAAAAAAAAAAAAAACGTACATTTTGAATGTAAAATACCCCTACAGATATAAACAGGGGTGTTTCCCCTTTTAATACTTTGGTTTTCAATACAGTCAGTGGTATAGCAAAGACTACACATACCCAACTTATATTTAAGTTGCAAGCACATGCTGTATAAGCTACTTTTTTAAAACAGTCCCCTTGCAAACTCTACCCCCCTTAACATCACAACAGTAAACAATTTAGTGCATCAATCTTTTAAAAAATCTACAGCTAAACAGACCTAACTCTTTCAAATTTATCTATAACATTCCTTTATCTGTAGCATACATTTTAACTGGGCTAACAGATTATAAAAACTAGAATTAAATTATATACTAGAAACCCATAGCATTCCACATTTGACAATGACCAAAAGCCAAAACAAACAAACAAAAATAATAAAAATAAAACAAACCAAAAAAAAAAAAAAAAAACGGGGAAGATTTCTTTTTTAAAAAATAAATTTTAGACTGCTTTCGGCAACATTACAATTTTAGACCCCCAAATGGGGTGTCATTCTTATTAAAAAGAAAACATTAAGAGTTCTTTAATGTTTGCCATGTTAAATTTGTAACCCATTCTGGTATCTTTGACAAGGAATGCCTTCAGTGCATTTACAATGGGAGGCTGAAGTTCTGAGTAACTCAAAGCAGTTTTGGAGCAGACAAACTTTCATGGGAAGAAGGCTCTAAGGTTGCACTTTTTTGTTCTGAACTCAAAAAAGTCATGAGGAAATAAAACAAAAGTATGAATGCCATGCTATAAGTCTTCGAATGTCCATTTCCAAGCCAAAAGGAAAAAAAAAAAGAAAAAGAAAAAAATAATTATACCATACATGTCCAGCATGCAGGCTTTTTTTTTTTTTATTAATATAATGTCTCTTTTCCATAAAGTCTTTGAAACAGTTATAGTTCATTGTTGCTAAGACAAAGTAGCAAGCATAATAATGCATGAGATGAGAATGAGTTTTCTTAATGGCAGACTAAACTCTCAGATTTGGCATCATAAGGCCAAAGCTCACAAGTCACACCCAGAAGGTTGATGCAGGCTTGATTGTGGCAGGTTCATGAGGATTTTTTTTTTCTCTATTTTAGCATAACAATGCTTAAAAACCCGATGGAACTCAGCACGCTGCAAGTCTATAACATTTCACATTTTTTTTTTCCTTTGCAAGCTCAATCTCACATGAAGAACTCAGGAGGAGAAAAAAAAAACTTTGCTTTTTTTTTTTTTTTTTTTTTTTTTTTTTCTTTCTTTTATCTCGGAGGAGATGGGTAGAGAGGGAGTGAGGGTGGAGGTTGGGGAAAAGATGGGCAACACAGCAAGCTCCAAAAAGTAAAATTAAAAAAAAAATCCAAACAAAATAAAACACACACACAGAAAATGAACACCAGCTCATGAACTAAAGGAGAGAGAGAGAGAAAAAAAAAATATGTGAATGATGCAGGCTTCAAAGGTGAGCAATGTTTCACATGAAGAACTCTGCTGAGATCTTTGAACATTGTGCAAGGTGGGGGGGGGGGTGTAAAAAAAACCCCAAAAAACAAGCAAGCAAGTTATGAAGAATTTCGTATTGGCAATCCATGAGCCAGACACCCCCTCCCTCCCCAGTTTAAAACAGCCACCACCACCACAAATTCGGAGCAGGGTGTGTGTGTGCGTGCGTGTGTGTGTGTGTGTGCGTGTGTGTGTGCGCGTGTGTGTGCAGGGGCCAGGGGGGGCAAACTCGGTAGGGGAGGGGGCGAGTTGGTGGCGAGCGTGGCTCTGGAACTAGGAAGCCCACACCCGAGCCGGACCCCCACGGAGCACTTATCAAGGTGGCTAGCTGGGATCGCGTGTCAGACTCACATGAAAAACTCGGGAGAGGACGGGTTGTCGCTGCTCGAGCCGTTTTCTCGGAAGCCGCTGCTCACCAACTTCTCGTATTTCTCCTTGTACGCGTCCCTCTCGCGCACCAGCCTGGAGATCTCCTGCTTGAGGTGGTCGACCTGCTGCAGCAGCTGGTTCTTCTCGGACTCCAGGACGTGTCTCTGCTGCACCCTCTTGAAGCGGCAGGACTGGGCATAGCCGCGGTTTTTCAGGGTCCGCCTCTTCTGCTTCAGCCGGATCACCTCCTCCTTGCTGACCCCGCGCAGCTGCCGGTTCAGCTCGCGCACCGACATGGTCACCAGCTGCTCGTCGGAGAAGCGGTCGTCGAAGTGCAGGCCGCCGGCGGCGTGGTGCGGGTGCAGG